GGCTAGGTAACGCCCTCAAAGCCCAAGGCTAAGGCAGAGGCGAAAGATGCCAAAGACTGCGCCTGTTCTTCCTGACAAGAAGAAGCCACAGGAGAAGCCTAAACCTCGGGGAAGATCGCCTTCGAAACCCAGGGATCAATCTCCAGTAGGAACGAGGAACATTCCTTGCCAGTTTCATTTCTATGCACGAAAGGGGCCGACTGCAAACACAGCCATCAGGAGAGTACTTACACATATCTTTTGGGCGTGCTCGCACCTCGCGACATCTCTGTGCCCCGACAGGCTCTGCTCTAGTATACGAGCCAAACTATTAGACTTGCGCCGTGGAAAATAATGTCATATGAACCAGCGCAGAGCCCAAACAGCCGCGCAACATTTGTTGCAGCGCTCGGCGAAGTCTGGCTGCTTGGCCGCATCATAACGACGTAGGCCGCATCGTAACGATGCAGACCGCATCATGATGGTGCATGCGCTATCACGCACCATTATGATGACGCAAGCTGCGTGATCATGATGCAGGCAGCTTTATGCTAAGGCAGGCCGCATCATCATGATGCAGCCGAAGCCACGCTAACATGATGCAGGCGGCGCCATGATCATACACGCAGCACCATGATGATGCAGCGCTACTTAAATAGTTCAGCAAGCTGCGACATGGTGATGCAAGCAGCATTAGGATGATCGCATCAAGCTCATGTAGGCGGCACCACCATGATGCAGACCGCATCATCAAGATGCAAGTAGCGCACGGTGAGCACATAGGCAGCGACATGAGACTGCAGGCAGCATTTTGATGAGAAAGCACGCCTTGTTATACTACTGCGGGACGCTAAACCAAAATGCAGGCGGCAATGTGACAATTCAGGCAGCATCATGCTGACGCCAACAGCCCGCTAATGAAGGAGGAACAACGCGGGAAACATGGGCACAGCGCAGGCCAGGCCACATCAGAATGACGCAGGCAGCATCATCATCGGCATCATCATTGCGCAGGCTGGTAAGCAGCATGCACTTGCGCGCGCAGCATCTTGATGACGCAGGCGGCATCGTGATGGCGCAGGCAGCTGCCTGCATCATCATGACACTGCTTGCAGTGTCATACTGCAGCCTGCATCCGGATGGTGTGGCCTGCAAGCCAGAAAGCCGGATCTCCAACAAGTTGAAACATCACTCTTCAGGTCGATTTCGCGGTGCGTTCCTTGTGGAGTGATGTTTGAAGCTTGAAAATACTCGGATCCCTGCACGGGACCGGGTTAGCTACGCCTGGAGATCGTGCAGAAGTTGGTGGCCGTGGCGTTGGTCTCCACAACGGAACCTTCCTGAAACTTCCAAAGAAGCTCACAGGCCCTTGATGTTTGTCTTTGTCCGGAATGGCAGCCCTTCGGCCTTCCACCCAAAGCAAGGCCAATAAGCCTTTCTATAGCC